CAAACAGCCCGCCCCCGCTGGGGTGGGGGGAGCGGGGAAGGCGCGCGCGCGCTGGGGGTCGCCCCTCCTTCGCGCGCCCCCCGCACCTGCGCACTTTGCAAGTCCTTTGACCCCGCCCTATTGGGCTGGAGGATTCTGATTGGTGTATTACTGAGTCCCGCCCCCGCTGGGGTGGGGGGAGCGGGGAGTGTGTGCGCGCGCTGGGGGTCGCCCCTCCTTCGCGCGCCCCCCGCACCTGCGCACTTTGCAAGTCCTTTGACCCCGCCCTATTGGGCTGGAGGATTCTGATTGGTGTATTACTGAGTTGGTCCCGCCCCACCTTTCTCCAATCCTGGAATGGACTCTATGTTCCGATGGGTTTCTTTGGTTGTGCAGATACAGTTTATCCTGAAACCGCCTGGCCGTCAGACTGCGGCATGCTGGCGGCCAGCGAGCTACAGAATCAATAAAAACGCCATCTTAATAGTAATATTTGTCTTACTGAGAGTGTAAATATGCTAGACTCTAGGCATAGAGACCATAGAGGTTGAGTGCGGCTTATAAATCGGAAAGTAGCAGAAGGTTCTGGAACGTGGGTCTGCCCAACGCCAGATGGTACTTTAAAAAAAAATTTTTTTTTTTTATTGCTGTCAGAGAGGAAGGAAGAGGGATAGAGAGATAGAAACATCAGTGATGAGAGAGAATCATTGATTGGCTGCCTCCTGCACGATGGAGCTAGAAACCCAGGCATGTGCCCTGACCAGGCATCCAACTGACCTCCTGGCTCATAGGTGGATGCTCAACTACTAAGCCATGCTGGTCGGGCCCCACTGGTACTTTGATAAGTGACCTGCTGCATCCAAATCAGCTGGAAAATTTAAAAAAAATTTTTTTTAATTGTAAATATTGCTAAAGATTTGAAATGGTATAAAGCAAAAAGGTTGGTCATCCCATTTCTCAGTACTGCTCTTCACATTCATTTAAAACACACACCCACAAATTCTTGTGTACCTCCCCTCCCCATTTCTGATTCCTGAGATGTGGAGTGAGGGACAGGGATCTGATTTTTTTTTTTTTTTTTTACAAGCCACCTGGTGGTTCTTATGCGTAGCCAGTTTTGGGAACACCGCCAAATGCAGTGTCCCCGTTTGGCTTCATTAAGCTGTGCTGGTGTGCCGCCTCTGCACAGTTAATGTAACTGGTGCATCAGTATCACACAGTGTTTCTTGAGGAAAATAGCTTTCAATAAAGATGAACACACTGTTACATAATTCATTTGCATGTGTGTGTTCGTTAAAGACTTAGTTCAAAGAAGTGTGGGTGGCTTTGAACTTGCCCCCAATCTGTGATATGTGTGGTTGTTCACTTTTCTCTTGTCTTAGGGATACTTTAGCTGGCAGGACAATTTGAAGGGTCCACTGTGCAAAATGAAAATGGGCCCCTTGTTAAAAATTTATTAAAAATTTTAAGACAGTGACAGTGGAACATTAAATTAGGCCCAGGGCCTTCATCAACACGGAGCTCTATGCGACTATAGATTGCATGTCTAAGAGGGTGAACCTGTTAGGCTGGGAAGCTTGAGAAGTACCGTTTTTATTCCCTGAGTCCCCAGCTCTCCCACAGTGTGTCCTACCCTGTCCTGGAGGCTTCCAATTTGCCTGTCTTGTTGTTGTCCCTGCTCTGCAGTGTTTCACAGGTCTGTGACTCTTTTCTTCTATTTGCTCTACAGTTGCTGATGCAAGGAATTCCCTGGGCCCTTGTTCACTCCACTGCTGACCAGCCTACCCACGTGCTGAACCTTTCTGCAGGCCTCTTCCCTGCCTCTGAGGGACCCTGTGACTTGGGGTCCATCCGGCCAGAGAAGAAAATTCTTCCTGCAGTTTTATTTGCCAAACTGTACCAATGAAACAACCATTTACTTTTCCCTTTCCAAATTAACAAAAGATGTCTGCGACTGAGTGTACAATAAAATCAATGTCCCAATGATTCCTATGATGTTGTCAACAGCCAATCAGAGCTTCTGATCAGCATGAGATAATCAGTGTGACCACAGTGAATTGATAAAATTTCAGCAAGCAAAGATAACTGATGTTTAAATGTGCCTTTGTGGTCTTTTGGTGGGTATGTTTGATTTCTTTGGGGGTATTGTGACATATTGAAAACACTATTAGGATCACCAGTCTGGTCACAGTTGGCCATCTAGGAGTCTAATGGCCAGGTTGGGAACTACTTGTTCATCAAGACATGTGTTGGGTGTATTTTGGGTGGGGTTAGTAGGTAATACACATCTGGAGGAGCTGACCTCCTTCCTGGTATTGAAATAAAATTTCACCTGGAGATTATGAAGGACTGAATTCAATATTCCTTCTTGGTTCCACTGGGTCTTTAGCAACAGATTTCTTCCTGCTTCCCGCCCTGTAGTGTAAAATGAGGCATCTATTTAGATGTCATGTCCCTTCCTGGCTGTGCTTTGTGCCCGTTAGATTTTACTGGATAGGAGCGGAAAGAGGAATTACAGTTCCTTCTTGTGGGAACAGCTTCTCAAAGATAGACCCTGTTCTGTCTGGTCACTTGCTGCTTTGGAAATATTTTCAGAATAAATAGACCTGCTGGGGACAGGTACCCTGCTGAGCACTCTGGAGAGAGCTAAACTGGACCCAATTCCCAGTTCTGGGAGTTGTGACAGTTTAATGGGGAGAAAAACCCAGCTCATAGACCACAGACTCTGAGTGCTACAATGTAGATGTTTATAGCCCTGAGGAGGGGCTCTGACTGCCTTGCTTGGGGAGGGAATAGTCAAGGAAGGCTTCCTGGAGGATAGAACCTAGTGGCAAGCCAGGCAGACAATTGGATAAAGCATATGTCAGGTGAAAGGAGCAATAGGAGTACCCCATTTTATAGTTGAGGAAACTTCAGCCTAGATTCCAGGGCTCCTAGGGCACCATGCTGGCCCTCCAGGACGGGACGGGATTGATCTCCACATCTGCAGGTGGTCACTGGGGCCCTCTAGGTTGTAATTGCTGGGTGGTGGGTGGAAGTGACCTCCATGCCCTGATGGCCCTGACACCCTTTGGTCCTCTGTGTGGCAGGTCCGGTGTGGGTGCTGAGATGGCCAATGAGAACCACGGCAGCCCCCGGGAGGAAGCATCCTTGCTGAGTCACTCCCCAGGCACCTCCAATCAGAGCCAGCCCTCTTCTCCAAAGCCCGTCCGCCTGGTGCAGGACCTCCCAGGTACTGGCAAGGGGCAGTGGCAGGGTGGCGGGGTCAGAGGGTGCCCCAGGAGGAGCCCTGACCCAGGCTGGGTTCCATACTTGTTTGCAGAGGAGCTGGTACATGCGGGCTGGGAGAAGTGCTGGAGCAGGAGGGAGAACCGGCCCTACTACTTTAACAGATTCACCAACCAGTCTCTATGGGAGATGCCTGTGCTGGGCCAGCATGACGTTATTGTAAGTTCCAGCCTCGGGTAGGGGTCTCACAGCAGCCTCTGGCATCTGGATCTTCCCCAGATGTACCCTGAACACTATTATGTGCCTAGTTCTGGGGGTACTATGACAACAAAACAGTCCCATCTCATGGAACCTAGACTCATATAGGGAAACTGGCATATAAACAGCTGACTAGAATAGTGTGTGATACTGAACTTGTACTACATGTTGGGCACTGTGCTTGGGATGCAGTGTGAACAAGATAGACATGGTCCTGCCTTTGAACTCAGGGATCTACTGGAGGGGACTAGTAGGATTACGACGTGGCACTTTTGTGAAGGAGGATGTTAGAGTACACCAGGGATCCTGACTGGGACTGGGGGTGGGTGGCGTTTTCTGAACGCTTCTCTGAATTAGTGGTTAAGATGAGAAGACTGGCTAAGGGAAAGTGGTAAGGGGAGGGCATGTGCATTCTAGGAACTTCGATGTCATTGTGGTAAGGAAGGCACGGGCAGTCTGGTGGGAGCACGGGCTTCTGAATCTGTCAGTTTGGGCAGCCTCTTTTCTTGGAAAAAGTCAAGCCAGTTGGCATTCCCATTTTGCAGATGAAGACATTGAGGCTCAGAGAGGCAAGATGACTGGCTCAGGACCTCACCGCCAGTAAGAGGCAGAGCAGGATTTGTACCTGATGTGATTTCAGGGCCCCACTGCCCACCATCACTTTCATATTCTGTCACCAAAGGAGTTCCACCAGAGGGCCTTGCTTTTTAAAAATCAAGCATTCCTTGAATTTTCTCTTCATTTCTGACTTTCATTTTGGTTCTTAAGGAAAAAACTAACACATTGAGTGCTGACCTCATGCCAGATGTCACATTAAGCTGGTCATATTCATTGACTTGTTTAATCATCATCTCAGTGGTGAGGTATCGTGGCCGTTTTGAAGGTGAGGGAATTAGGAAGGGAAGTAACTCCCAAGGTCACACAGTTGCAAGTGGTAGGCAGGAGTAGTACCCAGTGTTCTGCATCCCAGCCCCCTGTTCTTCTCTGAGGAGTAGGAGCAGGGGTTGGGGGGCCATCAGGATTCCGCAGTACTGGGACTCCTAAGCTGCTGGCTCTGGTTGCAACTCTGCTGGTCTCCTCCTCCAGTCGGACCCTTTGGGGCTGAATGCGACCCCACTGCCCCAAGACTCAAGCTTGGTGGAAACCCCTCCAGCTGAGAACAAGTCCCGAAAACGGCAGCTCTCAGAAGAGCAGCCAAGCGGCAATGGTGTGAAGAAGCCCAAGGTGAGTGTCTCAGCTTCCTGGTAGGCAGCTAGCAGGTTCCCTGCAAGGGCTGGGCCTGTCAGGTTAGTCAGGAGGGGAGCCCTGTGCACAGCTCCCCAGTGTACACAGCGCTGGAGCCATCGGCCAATGCTTCTAACTTGATGCCTTTGACTCTTTTGCTCCAGATCGAAATCCCTGTGACACCCACAGGTCCATCGGTGCCCAGTTCCCCCAGCATCCCAGGAACCCCAACACTGAAGATTTGGGGAACATCCCCTGAAGATAAACAGCAGGCAGCTCTCCTCCGACCCACTGAGTGAGTTCTTGTTGATTGGCTTGGGGGCACCCATTGTTGGTGCCTGGGACTGAGGTTGTGGTGATGGGCAGGGTGCCCCTCCTCCCTTTTCTCTGCTTTCCTCATTGCTCCTCCATCCCCCAAGGGTGTACTGGGATCTCGATATCCAGACCAACGCTGTCATCAAGCACCGGGGCCCTTCAGAGGTGCTGCCCCCGCATCCCGAGGTGGAGCTGCTCCGCTCCCAGCTCATCCTGAAGCTCCGGCAGCACTACCGGGAGCTGTGCCAGCAGCGAGAAGGTAGCTGTCTCCTGGGCCACGGCCTCCTTTGTTTTCATCCACCCTGAGCAGGAGCAGGGGTTGGCCAGTTGGGCTTGGGGATGGCACTCGAGCCCAGTGGCTGAGAGCATGTGCTGTCGGGGGACAGACCTGTTGGAGTCTGTTCCACTAAGTGCTGGTTCTGTGACCTGGGGCTCATCACTTAGCCTCTCTGCACTTGGGTTCCATCATCTGTAAGACAGGGACAATAACAGTGCCTACATAAAGGGTGGCTGAGGTCAGTAACAAAGCAAGAAACAATTATTAACACTTGCAGAATGCTTACTATTTGCCAGGCACTGTTCAGAGCCTTTTTATGAACTGTAAAAGTGCATAAAAAAGAGTAACTGTACCTCACAGGATTACTAAAAGGAGTAAGTGGAATGGAAAGTGCGCAATAAATGGTAGTTTTAATTAGTAAATAAATCTGCCTAAGTTTGCTGAAATATAGAAATCCCCCCCCCTTTCTTACCTTATGTAACACTTACTAACATACTTTAAAAAACTAGTGATTGTCAAATGTTGCTTAGAATGGAAGCCCCTGACAATAATAACAGTCACGTCTTATTTCCTGTTGCACCTCCAATGCCCACACAATGCCTCCTGAATTCAGACCATCATCAGTCTTCCTGTTCTGCAGGCATTGAACCCCCTCGGGAATCTTTCAACCGCTGGATGCTGGAACGCAAGGTCGTGGACAAAGGCTCTGACCCCATGTTGCCAAGCAACTGTGAGCCAGTTGTGTCGCCTTCCATGTTTCGTGAAATCATGAATGACATTCCCATCAGGTATAGCCCCACAGCTGAGGATGACCCAGGGCTATTTAGTTTGTGCCCAGTTCTGTATAGAAGGGCTCTAACTCTGTCCACTCTCTAATCTAGGTTATCCCGAATCAAGTTCCGGGAGGAAGCCAAGCGCCTGCTTTTTAAATACGCAGAGGCGGCCAGGCGGCTCATCGAGTCCAGGTTTGGCTCTCCCCTGCCCCCAGCAGGATGGGTCTGTGATGGGGGGCTGGTTTCACAGGCCATTGGCTCACACTCAACAAGTGAGATAGCCTCAAGGCATAACTGGTTTGGGGTGGCTCATTCCTCCAGCAGGGTCTGGGACATGACCTGCAGTGACCTTTGGCTTTTGGTGGCAGAAGTGGGGTTAGCTCCCAAAGGCAAAAGAAAGGCTGTGATGTAAGTCCAGGAGTTGACGGCTGAATGCCGGTGGAAGTGGGATGAGAGGAGTAAGGAGGTTGGAGCAGACACTTAACCGCTGGCCCCCCATGTACCCCCTGGCAGGAGTGCATCCCCTGACAGCAGGAAGGTGGTCAAGTGGAATGTGGAGGACACCTTCAGCTGGCTGCGGAAGGACCACTCAGCCTCCAAGGAGGACTACATGGTGAGTGGCCCTGGGTAAGGTCAGTGGAAAGGCTCTGTGGCCGCTTCCTCCCAGAAGCCCACTCTGCCTGCCCAGGCTGGGTAGGGCCTCACAGCAACCTGCTCAGCAGACCTTTGACACTCATTAGTCCCCAAACTCATGTGAATGGAAATGTTTGTCTAGGCTCCTGGCTTTCTCCCAAAGAACATTTCCATTAAGATTCTTAATGGAATTCTGCGCTTGGCTACCATCAGTGGCTGCCTTTTCAACTTAATGAACAATCATCTTTTGGAAACAGACTGACAAACTGTCTTTTCTTGGATGTGTGTGTTCATATATTTAAGAGCTACCACAAGATTCAATTCAACTCCCTACCTTAATGTGTCCAAAACATTTTTTTTTTTCTGGCCCAAACCCATCTCTTCTTTAATTCTCCATCAGCACTAGCAATGGGCTCTCTTTTCAGGACTATTTTTCACAAGAGACAAGGTTTCGCACTTCACGATAGTAACTGTGTACTTGACACGTAGAGATTGACAAAGGTAGGTGTGTGCTCAGTAGCCAGAGTGACTCATTTTCACTCATCTGACTTTCACATGTGACGCAGCAAAATTACAAATGCCCACAGTTATTCTTGGAAGTTTAAAAGCTCAAATTTCAAATCTACAATGATCAAGGAAGGATCCCATTTTATGTTCTTTCTCCCCAATAGACTACAAATGCTTTGTAAACAGGGACTATGCCCAGTTGTCTGTTTCCCTACCAAGTAGCATGGGATCTGGCACAGTGTAATCCCAAAATTAAATTATGGCATTTATTGGACACTTGCTATATGCCCGGGGCTTGTTAAGCCCTTAACATGAATGACCATATTTAATATTCCAACTGCCTTGCTAGGTAAGTATTTCATGTACCCTTAACAGTGAGAGACATGATTCTGAGACCTAATGACACAGCTCGTAAGTAGCAGAGCCTGTTTCTAAATGAGGACGGCTGCAATCCAGCAGCCCTCCCCTGCCTGCCAGCTCACTAGAGCCCTGTCTCCTCCAGGATCGCCTGGAACATCTGCGCAAACAGTGTGGCCCCCATGTCTCGGCCGCGGCCAAGGACTCCGTGGAAGGCATCTGCAGTAAGATCTACCACATCTCCCTGGATTATGTCAAACGGATCCGAGAGAAGCACCTTGCCATCCTCAAGGAAAACAACATCCCAGGTAGGAAGCCAGGTGGAAAGGACCGTATCCATCAGCTCTCTCCTAGGCCCTGGTTGAAGGGACAAGTGAGACAGCCTCAAGGCATAACTGGTTTGGGGTGGCTCATTCCTCCAGCAGGGTCTGGGAAATGACCTGCAGTGACCTTTGGCCAGGGTTCTCAGCACTCTTCTAGGAAACGAGGAAGTAATGAGAAGTGGGAGAGAAAGACAGGCAGGGCTAACTCGTTAGTTGGACCTTCGTTCAACTCTGTAAGCCTGTTTTCTCAAATTGAGGTATGATACTTGGCCAATAGGATCATGTGAGGATTCAGTGGTAACTTAAACTGTTTGGCCCCCAAAGACCCCTAAGTGAGGTACTGTAACTACTGTGATGAGGGTGATGCAGTTCTACTTCTGCATGGCATCTGAGCCTGCTTGCCTGCCAGGCCCCAAGGCACACTGGGGGCCTGAGTCGTCAGTACAGTACAGAGCACATTGACACAGGCCATCAGTGCTTGCCCCTACTAATCACCTGGCCGTGTCCTTTGTTACTGAACCGTTAGAGCTGCACTTACTCCTCCGTGGGGTGGGATGTACCTCCCTTCGTCACTGGGATGGGGTGGGCAGCCCCTGGCACACTGGACACAGGTTGTCCAGGGTGGCCCCTCATTGCTCTCTCCGTCCACAGAGGAAGTGGAGGCCCCAGAGGTGGAGCCCCGCCTGGTATACTGCTACCCAGTACGGCTAGCTGTGTCTGCGCCCCCCATGCCTAGTGTGGAGATGCATATAGAGAATAATGTGGTCTGCATCCGGTATAAGGGAGAGATGGTCAAGGTCAGCCGCAACTACTTCAGTAAGCTGGTAAGAGCTGGGGGAAGGGGAGGTGGGTCTCCACAGGTGGGAGAAGTGAGGGCTGGATCTCTCTTGACCCAGAGTCCTCAGCAAGAGGCCAGTGACAAGGGAGGCACCTGCGCTCAATTGAAGCCCCCTGCTTTCTGTCCCACAGTGGCTCCTTTACCGCTATAGCTGCATTGATGACTCTGCCTTTGAGAAGTTCCTGCCCCGAGTCTGGTGTCTTCTCCGACGGTACCAGGTATAGGTCTGGGATAGCAGGGGAGGGCTCCTCTGGACGGGAGACTGAGCGCCAGGTGCTGACTGTGGCCACTCTGCAGATGATGTTTGGCGTGGGCCTCTACGAGGGGACAGGCCTGCAGGGATCGCTGCCAGTGCACGTCTTCGAGGCCCTCCACCGACTCTTCAGTGTCAGCTTTGAGTGTTTTGCCTCACCCCTCAACTGCTACTTCCGCCAGTACTGCTCTGCCTTCCCCGACACAGATGGCTATTTTGGCTCCCGCGGGTGAGAGCCAGGGACTGCTGGGCCCCTCCTGCCCAGGCCTGGGAAACTCTCAGTGCAGATCCCACCTTGGTTAGCTGCTTTCTAATGTTTTGGAGTCAGGCAGTCTCGGGGTAGTCCCTGCCTTCACCACACCAGATAGGTGACCTTGGACATATCCCTGAACCTCTGGGAGCCCATTAACCCCCAACCCAGCCCGTGGGTTTCTTAGCCAGTTAGCCCATATCTGGAATACTGGGACGGAAGAGAAAGGGTGATACAGAGCTCAGGAGCCTTACAGAATAATGGGGAGGTGGGGGTGGGGCAGTGAACACAGATAGGAGATGATGTCTCCAGCAGGAAGACAGGGCCATGCCAGCAATAGGGAAAGCTCAGCAGCTAGGGAATTCCTGGGTGTGGTGTGTGCTCTGGTGGCAGTGGGGTCAGAGCTGGATTTGAGCTCCAGCTCCTCCACTAATCAGCTTGGTGGACTTCGGTCACCAAGCCTGAGCCTCTGTCCTCATATGTTCAATGGATATGGCCACATCCTGCCCCAGGACGAATTAAGGACGAATGTTGGCCTCTGGCCTCATCAGGGCCATGTCTTCAATGTGGCTGCCTAAGTGTGGGGGCAGCACCTGTTTCTGGCTGAGGGACTGGGACTTAGAATGCTCACCTCTGTCCCCAGGCCCTGCCTGGACTTCTCCCCGCTGAGTGGTTCCTTTGAGGCCAACCCTCCATTCTGCGAGGAGCTCATGGATGCCATGGTCTCTCACTTCGAGGTGGGTATGCTGTTTGGGGGTGGGGGATGGCAAGCAAGACTGCCAGCACCTGGAGGGCAGCCTCTGACATCCACCCCGTGCCACCTCCCACAGAAACTTCTTGAGAGCTCACCGGAGCCCCTGTCCTTCATCGTGTTCATCCCTGAGTGGCGGGAACCCCCAACACCGGCGCTCACCCGCATGGAGCAGAGCCGCTTCAAACGCCACCAGCTGGTCCTGCCCGCCTTTGAGCATGAGTACCGCAGTGGGTCCCAACACGTCTGCAAGAAGTGGGTTTCCAGGGAGGGCAGGGGGAGAAGGCTGGGTTGACTGGGCCAGCAGAGCCCTACCATGAGCTGCTGCCTCTGCCCACAGGGAAGAAATGCACTACAAGGTGGTCCACAACACAGCCGTGCTCTTCCTGCAGAACGACCCTGGCTTTGCCAAGTGGGGGCCGACTGCCGAGAAGCTGCAGGAGCTGAGCACCGCCTACCGGCAGTCAGGCCGCAGCCATGGCTCCAGCTCTTCCTCCTCATCCTCCTCGGAGGCTAAGGACCGGGACTCAGGCCGAGAGCAGGGCCCTAGCCGCGAGTCCCACCCCACCTAACACATCTTGCGGGGAGGAGGAGCCCCAGGGTGCTAGTATGGACTGGGACTCGGCTCTTGGGCTGCCAATGACATAGGAAGATTATG